ACTTTATATTAATAGAACGATCAAAAATAATGTCCATAACAGCGGGGTTATAACGAATTATATTTTCATTTAATTAAAATGAAAACTCTGACATATTTTTTACAACAGATAAGGATGTAGGCGATAACTGAAACAGCAAAATGCCATTGTTTTTCGCAATTTATTCAACGGTAAAAGTTCTGTTGCTTTTTATTTCCGCTTTTTTCATGCAGTATTGAGTATGTTGTTCATTTGATACTATTCACTGTTAGGGAATGTTTTCTATAAATGTTCCAATACGATTCATCTTCAGTGTCGCTTCTAACTAACAGTAAACATATTTTAACTTGCCAATTGTATTCTTTTAGCGAGCATAGCTTAAAAATCTTTTTTATTATTCTGCGTGTGAAATGATTTATTCACGACTCAGCCGAATGCTAAACTCACAACACAAATAGCAAATCCTTTATTGCAGACATTATAAATAAAGCAATTTAGTTCTTAAAGTAAACATCATTCCTATTTGTGTTTCAAAGCTCTCGGGGGTTGGCGTGTTATAAGTAAAATATAATCGAAACTTCGACATTCAACTCAAACGGACCCTTTTTCCCTCTAGATAGTTAAAAGCCAAATGTCTCTGAAATATAAATACCGTTTATTTATTAGCAGTACGACTTTTTATAGCCTTTTTTTTCATGTGTCACTAAGGTAAATTAATCCTTTGAAACAACATCGACTTCTTATAAGTTTTATAATATTATTATACATATAATATAACAATTATTAGCGTGTTCAGAGAATGTTTATTTTTATTATAACAGTTGTAAAGAACACTTCCAGCTGTTATTAAACAGTCCGATTTATCATCGTAAGCTATCTGACGTTTGAACAATATTGCCGAGATCACCTACACGCGTCTTCTGCTAATTCCCTAACGGCACTCCATGTTGATTGATGAGCGCCGTCTAAGTAATTGTCTTGCCGAACATTTCTCGTACATTTATTAATACATTATATCTTCACTTTTCTTCCTTTAAAGCTACGGCATATTTTCGCTTGAATTTTTTGTGCTGTTGGTATCACGTACGGGGCACTTTTAATCGTTAGATGACTATTAATCAAAGTGCTTTTGGAGCACATTTCACAACATGCTGAGGCGCGGTTGGCGCGGTCAATTGCACTATTACACTGCAAAATTATGCTGACCTCTGTTGTTTATGGACTACATAAAACTAAATATAACTAACATTTATTCAAGATACAAAATTACTTAATTGGTTACAAAATAACATTAACTCTTAATAGTCTTCAACGACTTCAACAGTAGCGGGTTGGTAATAATTAATGATTCCTATATACCTCATAATCGGTTCTTCTTTCGGGTTTTTATACCGTAGACAAACAGTGTTACAAAGCGTTATCCATCTCAATGGATCCCAAAAAAACAAGCTTAAATTTAATATTTAGCTCGAGTAAACAACTAAGCTCTTAATAAAATATAAAATATGATCTCGTCTTATTTCTTAAGAACCTTAGCATATCTTTGCATTATAAAAAAATCAGGATTTATACAGATTCCACATAAGAAATACACGGAATACACAAAATTAATACATACAGGTGATTCATATTATTTATATGTGTTAAAAAAAAGTCCATAAATGTGAAAACGAACTAATTGAGTTACTTTTTAGTCTATAATTTGGTAAACAAATTTCTCTCACCTCCACTACCGCAAATGTAGTTAGGTATATTTCACCTGAAATACAGAAAAAAATAATGAAAAGTGTATATGAAATTTGTTCCTCGACATCAAAACATGTCCGTAACGTAAACAAACGTAAGAGCTGGAAATAGATTTGATTGGTTCGTTAGCACTTTAACGATGCATGTAATAAATTGCGTTCTTTATATTCTTTATATAGTAACATTATGAAATAAACACTGATCAGTATTTATAAAATTATCCATATATATATATCTACCAGATAAAGCTCACTTAAATCAACGTTCCGGAATAGGCAATTTTAAATTAAGCATTCACATCGATAAAAAATATTTTCACGAAACATTTAAATGTTCTTATATACGAAGATTCTAATAACTAAGGCATATTTAATGTTACATAAATCATTATGAGCATCACGTTTTAGCTGTTAAAAATATATGAACGCGATAATTTATCGAGGCGACAAGAATTCGCGGCATGTGTCAAGCCCGGCGACGGTTTAATTTGTCGGCTCTATAATCGGTACTGAAGATAATTAAAGCGAGTCAATAGCAATACAAGTAAAGTCGGTGACAACTCTTATATAACCATTTAACGTTTAAGGATTCACTGAGTAATTTTTTTCGTTATCACTGTGAAATTTATTTCAATAAAATACTCCCAATTTTATATAAAGTCCAGACTAATTTTATTTCCTCACTAAATTAAAGAGATAAGTGAGAGTCAAGTGCAATTAACTCGAACATAGCTGACGAATTAAAATGAAAAACTAAAAAACAATGGTAATGTTCACCAAATTTTATTCCTAATATTAACTGCGAAAGAATACCGTGCATAAAAAATAAACACATGTAATCCATTGTAGATCAAATATAGAGGCGTATACGGTTCAATATTCCTTGCTGTGCATTATATTCCATAACATATTAAGCTAGCCAGCGTCAGGTGGTACTAATTGACATGAATTGCCATTTGTGGGATCTAAGACTAGTTTTCTCAAGTATTTTCAATGAAAGAACCTTTTATGAATATAAGTTGTGCGTGCATCATAATACACAAGAATTTTATTCCTAAATAACTATTGACTTTAATTTTAATTTCACAGTTTGATTCAAGAAAATATTGCTGTATCAAACAGTGCTTTACCTAATGTTTTAATAATAATTAATTTATTATTACAATGAGAAAAGTAAAACTTTATAAATATTTCAAAATCAAATATATATTTTCATATATGCGATTAAGAAATTAATTAAACAAAGGTTTCATTTTACATGTTTCCTTATATATAATTGAGTCAGTGGTGGCCTAGTGTTTTAGGTGGTAGAGCCTAGCTGTGGTGAGTTACTACAGCTCGAACATGGGCTGGCTCGACCGGGGAAGTACCACCCTCTCACAGAAGATCGGCGTGAAGTAGCCTTTACTGGCTGCGTTTCGTCTGATGAGTGAGAGAGCCGGTTGCCCTTTCCCTATTCCTACCCTTTCCTTTCATTTCCTTATTCCCACCCCTCCCTATCCCCAAAAAACAAGGTTGGCAACGCATCCGCAACAAAATGTTGCGGATGTCCATGGGCGACGGTAACCACCTTCCATCAAGTGGGCCGTCTGCTCGTTTGCCACCTTTCACATAAAAAAAAAAAAAAAAAAAAAAAAAGGGCCCGATTCTCGTGCACGAGGGCGCGGGTTCGATCATGACAAGTACCAATTTGATTTGTATGTACGTGAGTGAGTCATATGTACTTTCTAAGAGTATTTAGACACCACTAACAGACGGTTTAGGAAAACATCATGAGGAGACCTGGACTTATAATTTCATAAATATAAGTTTGAAACCAACCAGCCTGCCTTGAGCAAGCGTGGTGATCAATGCTCAAACCTTCTCACTGTGAGAAAGAGATCTTTGCTCAGCAGTGGGCTCTGATAGGCTGATGACGAATGACGAATGAGTTATTTAATTCAAAGAAGCTCTTTTTTTAAATTATTACTAAATTTAAACAAGACCACCATATGACCGATATTATCAATATTTAGTATCGTTTTTTCTTCAACATAACTAAAATAGATTGACTTAAAATAGTCTCTTCTTCTGAGTTTGAATATATTTTTTAATTTGTTATAATTGGATCCTATTATGATTTAAAACTTCTCAGACACAATCATTAGCTATATTAAATTATTCATAACTTGATACATACCTCACTTATAATCATGATATTCATACATTAATTCTGTTTGCTATGTTAATTTATGCACAGTTCTATACGTACTATCGTACAATATACCTTATCTTAATATTTCTCTTCACTGAGTTAAATGTGACGTCATAGTGTAAAATAATAAAATATTATTATAAAAACCTATTTTGTATATAAATAAAATTGCTTTATGCCTTTGAATTAAGTAGACAATGTCGTAACTTATATTGGCATTATTTATTGTAATTAAATTCTCAATTAAAATTCAAGTAATGTTTTTAAATACTCTTACATTTTTTAAAAGAAACGTAATTAAAGAAATTTTGAAATATAATTTGAACAGATCATCCAATATTCACTTAGAAGGTGTCCTAATAAATTTGACTACAGAATTAAATAATATATTACGAACCATAATACGAATTTTCAGGGGTTTCAGCGAATTCAAATTTAATCCTTTTCAATATAGGCTGTGCATAATTCATCAAAGTAAACCTTTGAAACGAGATATCCAAGTATTTAGAACACGGGTAGATTTCGGCTTCCGAATTCTGCGTATCATAAATATTTTATGATTATGAAAACTTTGTTTTGTAATGTATAGTTAAAGAAATAAAATTTTCTTCATCATTCACAAGTGTATTTTTTTATAAATTCCAATAATTCTGAACCACTTATATACATACTAGCTTTCCGCCCGCAGCTTCGCCGCGTGGAGTTCGGTTATATCGCGTTTCCAAGAGAACCTTTCAAAAGTCTGGGATAAAAACTATCCTATGTTCTTTCTCAAGGTCAACTCTATCTCTGTACCGAATTTCATTAAAATCAGTTCAGTGGTTTAGGCGTGAAAGCGTAGCAGACAGACAGACAGACAGACAGACAGAGTTACTTTCGCATTTATAATATTAGTAGGGATTCTAACCAGTGGAATATAAGATTTCCAATATTTTAATCTGATCATATATAAATAATAATAATAATAATTTTCATCAATAAGAAGATTTTGAAGTAAATAAACCAGATAGTTCTTGAATGATGTTTAATAAAGAATTTTATAGGGAAATGTTTATTAAATATTATGCATTCAAGGAATTATTTCACTTGACTAATTTGAGCACTAAAGATTCATTTCCAGCTACGCTCAGGCTCTCAGCTTGAAGAACATCACTGAAAAAGCAAAGTCATTTTAAAACGGTGATATTATAAAAATCAAAGGGAACAATATCTATTATTCAATAATAAACAATAGAAGTCAATAAATAAAAATTTAAATAATTTATTTAATACATACCCGATATTCTTTTCTGATTGAATATTATTAACAACAACCTCGAGACCACCGGAAACGTTATCGAAGTACGAAAGGTCTATTGTGTAGGCTTGTTCACGTAAATTAATCACAACCACATATACATCGCCATCGTGCCATCTAAAATCAAATTAGATCCATTTACAATATACATGTAAATATACATAAATACGAAAAGAAAAACTAATTCATTTTTAAATAAAACAATTGGGAAATATGAATATAAAAACTTCATAAACACTCGAAAAGGACTTGTCGTTGACATTTCATTACAATCTGACATGTGAAGTGTTTGATAATATTTTTGGAAAGAGATTATGTTACTATGATAAATACCAATGTTTATTGAACTAGTTGTTGATGTGTTAAGTACAGTGTTCAATTACTAATTACGTCTCTTAAATTTAACTTTTATACAAAGATGAGAAGCGTTAAGATACAAAAACAAAACTCAATCTTACCTCCTGAACGCTAAGATGTCTGCGTTAAAAGCAGCCGATTCGTATCTACCATACCTAAATGCAGGTTCTGCTCTCAATTTAACTAATTTTTTATAAACATTCAAATGTGACCTCTCCACGTTGCGCTGTATTTCGACATTTAAATTTTCATAGCCCTCAGCGACTGGCAGCCAAGTTTTATCGGCGGAAGAAAATCCTAAGATAGGCAAAAATAACAGAACAGTTAACCTAAATTAACACTATAACAGTTTGAAATTTGTCTTATTTTTGTTAGCAAATTTTTTCTTATGCAGTATATTTCAAAGTACTTGTAAATATTTGATTTTCCCAACATAAATGTTTATTTACCTGCATTCTTTTCTGAACTCCATTGGAAAGGAGTCCGTTCTGGGTCGCGCGAGGCTGATACATAATTTATAGGATCATCCGTATTACAACCGCTGGGATCAACTGTGTCTTCCCAACTAACGAAGCCATCAACCATACCAATTTCTTCGCCCTGTTAGCAAACATCACCCTTAAGGAATATCAAAATATCATGTACATTTAAAAGAAATAAACAAATTTATTTACCATATATGTTACGGCGATTCCTGGAAGTAACAATACAATCATATTTATACCATCTACTAACTCGGGACTGAATCTTGAAGCGACCCTGTTATTGTCATGATTCCCGGCCTGTAATTAATAATTTTCTTATTTTATTTTTTCATAAATCGTAAGGTTTGTATATACTATATATTAACTTAACATAATATGAATAAAGTTACAAATTATACTTTGTTATGTGACTCGATTATATGTACTATTTTTAACAAATTTTGAGATAAGGGACGATAATTAAATAAAATAACTTTTTTGGCGGTGCAACAATTTTTTAAAAAGTAAGTAAAAGTAAGTAAGTTAGTTATATGTATATCCATCGCAACTCGACTGAAGTCATATTAAAGATTTATTTGTACTCAACAATGTATCATGAGATTTTTCTTTTTAAGTTATAAAATATGTTATAGTTTTAGATATCTAAATAAATAATTAATGATTTTAACATATTTAATTTATTTTATATATATATGAAGACAAAGGCACTTACCACCCAGTTTGCTAATTTGTCCATTGGCTTAAAAGTCAGAAATTTGTCTAAAGCGTACTTCATTTCAGCAGCAGTGGATTTTCCATTCACGTCAGATATAAGGACAAAATTAAATGGCATTTGAGCACCTTCCTTTTCTCCATTACCAAAATACTTCATAGTGATTTGTGGACTCGAATAAGCTTCTGTCATCATTACTCTAGTTAAACCATCTTTTTGTTTATATTCATCAAATACTTCCCTCCATTGGTAAACCATGTCAAAGGTCTCTTCCTGATCTTTTGTGTAGATATGATCAAGATAATCATAATTTTGTGGGTCATCGGTACTCTGTCCACTCAAAGGTTCATCTGGGTACTTGCCATCAAACAGTTTCTTATCAACTTCGAATAAATGAGCAATAGCATCTACTCTAAAACCAGCAACACCTTTATCCAACCAAAACCTAATAACATTTTTCATTTCTTCTACCACATCTGGATTACGATAATTTAAATCTGGTTGACCAATTACGAACTGGTGAAGGTAGTATTTTCCTACTTCTTCTCTGTATTCCCAGGCACTTTTGCGAAAAACGCTGTTCTGTGAATATAATTTGACAATATTTTTAACAATCGCAAGTGGTAAATAAATCTTTGTTTATAGCTTACCCAGTTACAAAAGTCAATATAGCTTACCCAGTTATTCGGTGGATACATAAGACCATTTTCATCAATTACTCCGTCCTCCCACACAAAATAGTCATAATACTTTTCATCGCCTTTCAAGGCTTCTTCAAACCAGAAGCTCTCGTTACTGCTATGATTTGGTACAAAGTCGAGTACAATTTTAATATCTACAATGTAACATACTATTTTAATATAGAATTACATTAAACAAAGTAACAAAACTGCAAAGTCGATAACTAATATTCCAAGTAAGAATATGAATTATGATTAAAGTAATTTACTACTAAAGTAATACCTAGTTCATTCGCCTTCTTGATTAAATTATCGAAATCTTCCATAGTTCCATATTCGTCATGAACTTTGTAAAAATCGGAAATGTCATATCCAAAATCGTACATAGGAGATTGAAACATCGGAGACAACCAGGTCGCTCCAATTCCAAGTTCCTTTAGATATTCCAGTTTGGATGTTATTCCTAGGAAAGAAAAATATTATTTCTCTGCAAAAACAAACTTTAACAAAAATATTTAAAACTTTTCAAATATACCTTTGAGATCTCCAATACCATCACCGTCACTGTCCATAAAGGATCTGGGATAGATCTGGTAGAAAACCGTTGTTTCCCACCATTCCAATTCCCTTTCATTTTGGCAGTTAGCCAAAACAAATACTACCGGCAGCAAAACTAGTGTTACCAACCTAAATGTGAAAAATCATTTTAATAAATGAATATTTATTTCTATCTTTATTGACTAAAATAGGTGTGCCTTTACCTCATGATTCGTCCCGACAAAAAACTGTGCACGAAGAATCTTATATAGTGGCACAGTATCTCTTGAAATAGATAATTCGTCTTAGGAGATATACCAATGTCTGTTATCTTCGACATAAAAAATATTTTTATTATTATTTTTCGATTCTTTTATTTTATACTTCTTTTATTTAACCTTTAATAAGGTTTTAAATAAGTATATATAGCACAGGGGATATCGACCGCATCAAATTAAACTATAACAATACAACTTTAACCTTAAAGGTTCAACTATTATTCAGTTTTTAACAAAGTTTCAATTCCATTATAAAGTTTTCATTTGATTAAACAAAAGAGCGGAATCATTGATTTATATGTATGTGTAAAACAAATTTTAGAAAAAGCATTCTATCGAAAAGTTAAAATTAAAATAAATAACGATTAATTAAAATAAATTATTTGTATATCTGCTTATTTTTGTAAATTAAAGTGTTATCGAGATATAATGAGGCTGTTTTTATCGGTTTTTTATCGGTTAATCCGAATTTGCAAGTGCTTTGAAGCATTGCCTTCAAGTAGACGAAATATAAAAGGAACACCCCCTTTCGTATATAAAATAAGGACATCAATTTGGATGCACGTGTTTTTAATACTATGGCTGGGTGACCATGTGGACCTCTAGGATAATTCTCGTCAAGACTACGCAGAGATTTTGATAACTGTTCATTAGGAATAATGCATTATATAACCGCAATCAAGCAATCGAGGTGGCGAGCGATTGCAATTGTCAAGACATAAAGTTTAGACGAAAAAAGAATCTATTATTATGTTTTGAGACAGACACCTCGTTTCAATTGCAAGTTTTCCGAAACACTATATAATTTTCATTGTTACATTTACAAAGAATGAGTTAATATAATCATTTACTGATTTATTTTTATAATTTTCCAACTGTTAAGAAAAATAATTGGAATCGTTTTGAAATTCATACTGAACAATTTTTTTTACAATCTAATTAACTTTGTTTAATTATATAACTAAACACAGTTTGAAATATTAATATTAAATTTAATATTGTTTACAATTTGTTTATATATTTAAATTTATAGTGCCCCACTAAACTAATAACCAAGGTTCAGAGTTGTATTTTATAATTTTATTATCATTAATAAAATCAATAAAGTCAAAAATATTATCTCTTTATTGTTTTAGCTTCCAGATAAACGATTTTGCTAATTTAAACCTCAACCTTAAAAAAACAACTTTCCCTCTCCTTAGCAATCTTTGTTTTCATTTTCTATTTTATTATTTATTTGATATTTCAACTACTGTGCCACCCGCCAAAAGACGAAAAGGAAGCCGTAGGTAACGAGTGCACAATCTCAGTATCAGCCTATTCACCCTTTTCTGAAGACACTAAAATAAAAACTTGAAGAAAACACAAACGCAGGCAAGCTGTTCTATCCCTTGCTGTCCGCATATTAAACCAAAGATCAGGAAGAATGATAACCATTAAAAATCACATATGAAAGTATGGTAATCTGGGTGCTTTAATTAAGGTCTGTATGTTGGTCGAATAAGATGACTTTAATAAATCCACTTTTTTATCATGACTTTCGCTACTACATATAATGCGACAGCCACTTGGTATATTATATTTTGAAGCATCGCGGTCTTTACGAATTACTCTTTTAAATAGAGAAAATTTCAAAATTGCATAAATGCATAAGTACACTAAAGTTGATTTAAAAAAGGAACTTTATATTTTTTGATACAAAGTAAAAACATAACTATTGTTATGTTGTTCAATCAAAGTCAAAGTAATTCAAACAAAAACAAAGTTCCGTCTCTGAATTAATGATTTAAAATACAATGTATAAATAATATAATATTTATTTAGTTTTATTGGAAACTAAATACCACGGCATAACACACAAATTATACTATCGGATATTGTTGTACTCATAATAGGTTTAAAAATAACGTATTCACTGGTGTTTACTTTTTACCTTAGGACTTCAAGTAAAATACGAGTATAAAGCTTTTTGTTTTATACTAAAATTTATTATAATTAATTTTTACACATTCACAGTAATTTTAAAACCAATCCTTCGTAGCCTGCTACGGGTAGCGCCGATACATTGAAAATATCCCTGAAAATAAATCATTGATTTATAAATATTCACATACATGTATAATAATTATAATAGTAAAATTATATAACGTACCCTTCGTTTTTGGGAGATTGAATGCTTCTAACAACAACCCTGGCCTCGCCACTTACATTTTCAAAATATCTGAGATCAATTTCGTATTCAGCATCTCTCATATTTACCAAAACTAAGTAAGTTTCTCCGTTATACCATCTAAAAGCATAAATCATCTTGTATATAAAAAATAATTCCTATTAAATATAAAATATCTTATGAAATTCTAAACTAATAATATGACTAACCTACGGAAAACAAAAATATCCTTATTGATTGCCAAGGAATCATATCTGCCATATCTGAATTCCTTTTCTTGGCGTAGTTTAGCCAATGCCTGGTAAACTTTTAAATGAGATCTTTCAGCCTCTTTCTGTGCTTCTACATTCAGTGTTTGATAGCCTTCAGCCACTGGAAGCCATGTTTTATCGGCGACCGAGAAACCTATAAAAGAATTATTTAAGAGATATAAAAATAAAACTTTACTTGTTCAAAACATCCTGTTAAAATAATAGTACAAGAATTAAATAATTTATATTAGACAACTTGAACCGGTCCACAGTACTTTACTTTGGATACTACTGACTCAATGCAGAAAAATCGATGAAAATTTATCACATCCCGTCCATATGGCTCATAAGATAGAAACTTTTGTTTCAAAGATCCATTACAGTTAAGTTGGGTCAAGTTCACATATTCTATTTTCCTTATTCTATTCATATCACTTTAGTTGAAAACTACTATTATAAGCTTATAGAATTTTAGAACTTTTTCCTACGGTTACCTGCATTTTTTTCTGAGTTCCATTGGAATGGGGTGCGTTCAGGATCTCTCGAAGCTGAGACGTAATTGATTGGATCGTTTGTATTACATCCTGATGGATCGACTGTATCTTCCCAGCTAACAAAACCATCTACCATACCAATTTCTTCACCCTAACAGAATAATGATACAATAACTCAAAATAATACGATAATTTAATATTATAAAAATAAATAAAGATTTTTCGTACCATATATGTTACACCAACACCTGGCAGTAGAAGCACAATCATATTTATGCCATCGACTAAAGATGACCCATAACGAGTGGCCATTCTGCTCTGGTCATGGTTACCTACCTATAAAAGATAAGATTGCTTTTACTTTACAGTAATGAAATACAGATAGATACATATGAAAAGGTTTGAATCTTACCACCCAATTGGCACTCTTGTCAACTGGCATGTATGTTAAAAATTTATCGACAGCTCTTTTAATATCAGCTGCAGAGGATGAGGCGTCGACATCAGTAATTAAGTCAAAGTTGAAAGGCATTTGGGCGCCTTTTTTATCACTCTCGCCAAAATACCTAACAACATCCTGAATAGAAGCATAAACTTCGGTCATCATGACTCTTTGTAATCCATCCTTCTCTTTGAATTCGTCAAAAACGTCTCTCCATTCGTAGACCATATAATAAGTCTCATTTTGGTCTTTTGTATAAATGTGACTTAAATAGTCATGAGAATTAGGGTCAACGTCCAATCTTCCTGACAGTGGCTCGTCTGGATATTTTCCGCCAAAAAGTTCTTTGTCCACTTCAAACAGACAATTCACAGCGTCAACCCTAAAACCGGCCACTCCCTTTCCTAGCCAAAATCGAATGATGTCCTAAAATTTAAAAATAACGCTAAAATTGAAACAAGTACCTAAGAAAATATTATTATGTGGTCTTCTGTGAACTTACCTTCATTTCGTTAATGACGTCTGGATTGCGATAATTCAAATCAGGCTGTCCTACTACGAATTGATGTAAATAGTACTTCCCGACTTCTTCCCTATATTCCCAAGCGCTTCCTCGGAAGTGACTTCGCTAAAATTTTGAGAATTTTGGTAAATTAGAAGCAGCCTTGAAGCTTACACGGTCATAATTTATAAAAAAGGACTAATATTTTTACCATGTGTTGACTAATACCTTATCTATTATGTCACTGTTAATTTTTAATTACATAACACTTACCCAATTATTTGGTGGTTGTCTATTTCCATTTTTATCTATTACGCCGTCTTCCCAAACAAAATAATTATAATATTTCTCATTTCCATTTAATGCTTCTTGAAACCACATGCTCTCATTTGATGTGTGGTTTGGTACTAAATCTAATACGATCTTAATATCTGTAAGATGAAGAAATATTCAATACATAAATGAGGACAAGATGATTCCAAATAAATTGCTAGGATGAAAATTTCAAAATATTTAAATTTAAACAGTTTCATTTAAATTTCAATCACTATAATTATTGTTATTTTTATAATCCTCCTAATAATGCTGTGGTTAGTATTTTCATAAAATTATAGTTTTGGATTATCTGCTTAAAACAAATTTTTATCTGCTATAAGAAAAACCGGTTATTTTGCTATTATTTCTGTTATAATTATACTTACCGAGTTCATTGGCTTTTTCCAGTAATTCTTCAAAGTCTTCCATATTACCAAACTCGTCATGGATATCATAAAAGTCAGCGATATCATAACCGAAATCGTACATTGGTGATTTGAAAATTGGTGACAACCATATGGCACCGACGCCGAGCTCTTTGATATACTGCAATTTCGATGTTATCCCTAAAAGAAATAAAAGTAATGCTACCAACAATCCGCTCAAAGCTATATATTTTATAAAAATACGTTGTCAGCGAAAACTGTACATTTTACAAAATTGTTAATTTAAAAATGCAACTATACTGTCAGATTAAAATTTCGTCTTGTCAAGTCTAGCTTAAGATAAATGTAACATTATTTCAGCAAAATGTTCTTTTCATCGTTTGAAAAATAAAATCCTCTTATTTATATGTAAACAATACATTTTTTTATTAATAATTTTATTTATTTGGTGAATTGAACCCTATAATACTTTTTAAGAATTAGTATTTCTTCCCCGAATACAGTCAACATGCCATGTTTTTATAAGAATTCCATCCTTACCAGGTAAATCTCCAACCCCATCACCATCACTATCGGCGAACGACCTCGGATATATCTGGTAGATGATGCTCGTTTCCCACCACTCCAATTCCCTTTCATTTTCCTCCCGTATAATATTTCCACTGCACAGAATCACTAACGACGACAATAAAACTATCGTCCTCATGGTGACAAATCTCAATCAATATTTTAGAATAGAGCACTTCATTTTATACCCGTTTTGATTTAAAGTGATCTTATCGAGACCCCCGATAATGTTACGCCAATATTACTTAGTGTATTGTGTCAATAATCCGTACTGAGAAAACAATTTACTATGCCGATTAAATGTTGTTTGTAGACAGAGTATTTAATTCTTTGATACATAATAATGATTGTCTTATTTAAAGTGTATTTTAATTACAAATATTTTTTAAATAATGACTTTTGCGTATTTATATTTATTTTGCTAAATATTGGGTGAATTTTAGAATGTTTTACGATAGTACTGATCTGGGATTCAATAATTTAAGAGACGTTGCTGTTTAGAAATCATTGGAATAAATTAGTTCAGTAAAAAAAAAATATTTTAAAATATCATTTATAATAAGAATTATTTATTTGTTTACTCAAAAAAGTGAAAATAAGTATGTATTGTCACTATAAGTGATAACAGATCGGATAAAATCCAGATAAGACCTTGCTGGAGAGTTCTTCCATGGAATATTTCTGCTCTTATCACAGATGAGACCTACAAACATATCAATTCTTTTAAGAAGTATTCACTTATATCAACGATATACTTATCTTTTGAAAAAAAACAACTACATAAATTATAGGTAAATATAGGTAAATTTAAAATATACAAAATGTTAACTTAAAAGTACGAAAATATACAAGTTCAAGTACTGCAAGTGTGATAATGAAGTTCAGTCAATAATAATCATTACATAATCTATACAAATCTTTTGAATTTACGCTTAATGAATACTTAAAATAAATTAATTAAGCTTCCCTGCAATAATAGCTACGGTTTTGATTTTAATTAAATTTCTGTACGTCATCTGCACTGCGGTCAAAGGTCCTTCAATAGTTACGTCGAGATGGTATACCTTTCTAATTAGTAGATATAATTCAACACTATTATAGTGAGAAAGGCACTGATTCAGTTTCTTCATAATATCACGCAGTTAAATGTGCAAATCAGTAAAGTTGCTTAATATTATTCAGTATTGATAATTATAATAAATTGAAATTTCCTTCTACCTTATAAAATTGTTAACTGTTTTTAGTTTTTTTTTTTAAATAAAATGCTCATGAATTTAATTCTGTGCAATTATATGTAACAGGGTAAAGTTTCATAACACAATCTTAAGAATTTAATTTATTTTTCTTCACTTACGTAAAGTTAGTTATAGCAATTCAAACATATACAGAACAAAGTATTATTTTTGAAATAAAAATTTTGTTTTGTCGGTGAACTAATTTGCTATCTTAAAAGCGTAAACAGCGCTTCACAGTTAATTTCAGCAAACTAACAGAGTGCAAGTAAACTTTGATATAAATCACACAGTCTATCAAAGGAAGGCTTACCCGTGGGTTTATTCATCAAAAAGCGTTTGCATAAGTTGTGGACTTTCATTTTGAAGACTATTTAAGTATTTCATTATATTATTCCAGTATTAAATTTCAAATTAAAACAAATTTTGTTTTATAATACTTTATTTAGACAAATATTGTTATCAGCTTTTATTTTATATTTAAAATACTTCACACCTGCATTCTTAAAACCAAAGCTTCGTCTGCAGCCAAATCCAAGTAATTTGCTTGAACTATATCACTGAAAATATATACGAAATTAATAAAATACTTATAATTAAAGCACGTAGCATACTCCTTCAACAAATTGTAACTAATAAATAAAAACAAAATTATAATTCTTTACCTGTAAGTTCTAGAAGAAAGAACACTGCTAACTTCTACTTCCAAATTTCCAAAGATCAAATCAAATGCTGTTAAATTGACAATTTGATACGTCCTGCCCACATTCATGACAACAATGTATGCGTCATCGTTGTACCACCTGTAAAAGCAAAAACGTCATTGGCTACATCAACCATCCTAGATACATACAAGAATCAATTGATTTTAGCAAAATATCGAACTAGAAAAATTTAAAAACGAATACTGTTTTATTAAGACGAGTATATAATCTAAAACTTACACAAATATGAGACGAAGATTTCTACGGTTAAAAGACTTAATTTCATTACTACATTTTACAAAAAAAAAAAAAACTACCGGATCGTTGATCACCTCTAAAAGCAGATATGACCTTACAATGAGTTTATAAACAAACATATAAAAACTGTAAACCTATTTTGATAATCAATATAAGATTATTCTATGTATTATTAACAGTATCCAAAGTATATCTTTTAATATTAAATGATTTTGTCACCTCTTAAAAGCGAAGACGTCGTGGCTCAATGCTAATGACTCGTAACGGCCAAGTCTAAACGCCGGACGAAGACGTAAGCTGGTCAGTGTTCGATATACTTGGAAGTGGGAACGATCCGCTGAACGCTGATTAGCCACGTTAATATTCTCATAGCCCTCCGCTAGCGGCAACCACGTTCTCTCAGCGTCAGAAAATCCTTTTCATTAAATGGAACATCGTTTGAATATATTAGCATGAACTTAGAAAATGCTTGAAAATTATTTTTTTGTAAAGGTGAAATTATTTCCATAACTTGTTTTTTATGGTCTATGTTATATTATGGGTATGATTTTGTTGAGTTAAAATTAACTATTATGAACTTATGAAATCATATAACTACGGATGTTTGATAGTTTCAGTTGTAAAAATTTATAAACAATACTTGTATACTACTAAATGTTCTAGCTTCTTTGCATATATTATTTTATATACTGCAATTCTCGGAATCAATTTTAATTAAACGATCAACAGTGCTGAATGAAAAATGCTCGAGAGAATACAAAAACTAAAAGTATATCACGGATGTATTGTTTGAAAGAAATATCTTGTATATTATATTATAAATAAGGCATACATATTTCACAAAGCTAAAAGCATACCTGCATTCTTTCCATTGCTCCATTGAAAGGGTGTCCTGACTGGATCCCTGGTGACATCCACGAAGTTGATGGGGTCGTCAGTGTTACATGCGATGGGGTCTTTTGTCTCAGTCCACTTCACAAATCCATTTACCATACCAATTTCTTCACCCTTTGTTATGAAATCACAGAGATGATAAAATTATTTTAGCTTGTCTAGTTCAATATCATAGTAATTAATGATATATAAAATTTTCGCGTGTATTCATTGAAGTAGACTAATATTTTCGTTTTCATTTTCATTTCGTCTGCACCTAATCAAGGTTGTTGCAATCGAACCGAAACGTCGGAGTTAATTTGTTTTTCAAAATATTAAGAAATCGAGCAGTACATATATCAGAAATATTACTTTTATTTAAACCATAGTAATATTAGTCACACTGATTTATTTTTAATAGAATCTTTTATTTTTATTAAAAAAAAATCCTGATTAGCTCTTTATTCCGAACTCGTTATAGCATAGAAATAGTTTTTAACTTATTTCAGAATGCCTTTGACATTTTCTACCTCTAAAACTTCAGTTGGTTATGTTTTACCCGAGTTTTTGTAATGATTTTAAACCATGAAATTATAACTATTCCTATTTCAATTTTGTTTAACCACGTCATTTATTTTGCATCCCGTATTAATGTTCTTTCGGCGCATACACTTTATTGCCCCCAGTTACTATTAATATTTACATATAAATAACTTCTGTAGCGTCAAACGTAAACTGAAAATCCCTCCTATAGTTTTAACAACGAAAATAATATTTATCAGGTACTAGGCAATATCAGTTTTTCATTTTCAGTGCTGTAGTCAGGCTATTATAAAGACAGGTTATGTTTAAAAAGTCTTAACAACACGTGAATGTGTTAATAAGATATTATAACTAACATCTACAATCTCTTAAAAAGAAGAGAGTAAAAAAATTAGTAATCCAAATTATTACATGGTAAAAAACTTCCAAAGCGTGTAAAGCATTCTGGTTGCTAAAGTCATAAATTATTAATGTATTGAAATTCAAATGAAGCAAGCGAGATCGGGTCTCCAGAGATTTTTGTAAAACCTTACCGTTCAAATCCATTATATAATTTTTCGCATCGATGAACTTAGCTAGCATTATATAACTCGCCAGTTATTTTCGGAACCATATACAATATTAAAATATTTTAAGGTCCAATATTACAATCCTCAATATGTACAAAACAAAAAATTGGATATTAAAATTCGAATACAAGTATATTCTTACCATATAAGTAATAGCAATTCCGGGTAGGAGCAAAACTAGCATATTAAAGGCATCGACCAATTCGGGTCTAAAGCGAGATGCCACGCGGCTTTTATCATGTGTGCCTGTCTGTAATGAAATGATATTAACACAATAATAAAACATGGCAGAAATTTATCAATTACTTTCATAATTTGGTATGACGAAGCAATTTTAATACAACGTTATTTTCAACATATATAATCATGTGACAGCGAATGTCCGGTCTAAAAAAGTTTTTTTGCGTTGTACAATCAAAGCGAGAATTCAATCATAACTATTGGGGTAATAATTTAACATACCACCCAATTAGCCGGCTTTCGAAGTGGTTTGTAGGTCAGCCATCGATCGATCGCATATTTCATATCTCGTGCATCAGATTCCTTATTCAAATCTTGGATGAGAGCGTAATTCATGGGGATGTGGGCTCCGGAATGAATGCCTTCACCGTAGTACCTGACAGCATTCTTAATACTCGTGTAAGCGTCAGTCATCATAATTCTGAAATAGAAATACAGTAATGTCAAAAATATCGTTCATATATTAATAGAACTACATATATTTGGTAAAATAATTGAGTGGTTTTCGTGAAATGTTGCTTTTACTATGTCATAAATATCTTCAAGTACATGGAGTATAATAGATGTTATTAATATATTGTGATTTTTAATAAATCTTTTCGGCTCTCTGTACATTAGTTTTCTGTCATACGTTATATGAATACCCATCAGAATACAACGTGATAATAATAATATCCGCTTAAGTGCGAATAACAAAATGTTATGCGCTATCAAATTTTACGATGTCTGCTTAGAGCGCGATAAATTGAAGCCCACTCAATCAAGTTTTGGAGGATATTCTTTTATTCTTGGACATAGTGAAGACATTATCTTGAATCATATAATAAATTGCACAATGAGATTCTATATACAAGTACAATTAAATCTTTATTACTGATCAAATCTTAATTTATAAGTCAAATAGATACGACCAAATCAAATGAGCCTTTTACATTTTTTAATTTATGGATATTGAAGAAACAAAAAAGTTGATAAGACAACTAACCTGGTCAAATTGTCACGTAATGTGATAGCATCAAATACGTCTCGGAACTGTGACATGAGATCATATGTTTCCTCTTGATCCCTTGTATAAACGTGGTTCAAGTATTCATAATCCTCATTCATCACACCGGGAGTTCCTGTCTTCGGCTCGTCAGGATATCTACCACCAAATATATCCTTATCCGTTTCAACCAAGTGGTTTGCTGCATTTATCCGCATACCAGCAACTCCTTTTTCAAGCCAATACTTTATTATATTCTGGAACAGTCAAGTGTTATATGTAGTTTTGTTCCGCCCATCACATTACACTGTTACAAATTAATACACCAATACAATTAAGTTTAACAATACATCGAGGTCATTCAACTAATTGCTGGATAATGTATACAGGTATCTTTACGAAAAACATTATATTCGTACTACCTTTTTAAATTTTGTTTTAAAATAAGCTATTGTTTTTAAAAACCATTATTTATACTAAACGTTGATTTTACTCGACGTTAAACGTTTTTGTTACTTAAAATACAGTTGTGAAGCCTCTAAAGAATTGAAGAGTATTTTTCTTGTACAGAAAACTTTTTTTAAATCAACCGGAATTTTCTAAAAACCATAAATACTATGTACTAAATACTAAATTTAATTCTAGCTATAGTCATAATTTCTTTCATCTTAACTAGATTAAAGCTTAAGTCTAAAAAATAATACAAAAATAATATTTTTTCAGATACTCTTCCCTTATTCTTGAAATATGTATGCAAGTGAAACAGGGTTTAAAAATCATTTACATACTTCAAAGAGCATTTCAATGTAAATGTCAATGGATTCTCACTTTTAGTTCTTCGACGACGACAGGGTTCCTGATGTTTAAATCCGGCTGAGCAGACCCGAATTGATGCAAGTAATACTGATCTCGGCTTGGCGAATAATGCCATGCGCTTTTCCTAAATACACTTATCTGTAATAGATCATTAAATAAAATGTTAGTAGCAATCGTGTTTAATAATGACATTAAAATTGAGAATAATGCTTTCATTTTTAAAATCGTGCAAATCTTGTGGACGAATCATGATCGATTAAGTATTCTATAACAGAAAAAATATAAGCTATATATGTCAATAATGTCTTAATAAAGGTTACGTGTGTGTGTGTGTGTGTGTTTGTGTGTCTGTGTGTGACTTAAAAGTGTGTAATAAGATTTCCTAATACATTATAAGCATATTGTGATGTAGGTCACGATGTTCTTCCTTATTAACAAACACCATCTCCGTTTCCTCATCGCCAGTAATGAACGTATCGCAGGTGCGGTTGCCATCAATGGAGCTGCTAATTCACTTATTCATACACCTTAATTACGAAAAGCCTTTACCTCAACATATATCATAACTAAATTCACATGTTATGTTATTCAATGCTTTTATAATCAAAACTTAGTTATAGTGATTTTAAACTTATTGGATCATAACTTACGTTAACTTCATTATGAAGTAATGAAACAGTTGAAATTCTACGAGTAATTATAATCATATAAAGTCCAACTTCATTTTATAGTATTCATACATCTGTTTCAAAGTACAGAATAACTTTGTTTGTTACAATAATGTTATTTGTGATGTTTGTATGAGAAAATGAGAAATTCATATTCGATTTCGATTATATTCCTTAACTATTTACATAACGAATTCATGATTACTGGTTATACGAAACGGAATTACCGAAAATTGTATACATACTAAAGGAACTTCAAAGTTAATAATAAATATCAGAAAATAAAATTCTATTTCTGATATTAAATCATTAAAAAAGTGTTAAAGAGGGAAAGTAATAATGTGCAATGAAAATATATATTTCGAATTAAACTTACGCCTGAATGATGGATTTAAAGGGAATCTATTATCTTTTATCCACATCATATAATTAAATATTCTGTTTCTCTTTTGAAATCAAGCAGAATATTTCAAATTAAGTATATTTAGAGACTCTTTCTCATTTCCAACTTAAATGACACTTCTTGAAAGATCTCAAAACATAATTTCAGACATTTATTTTCTCTACTCTATGACTAATTAGATCCATCGTTTTCATAGCGGTTACAAAAATGTCACTCACCCAATTATTTGGTGGTCGTCGCTGTCCATTCGCGTCCAGATGTCCGTTTTCCCAGATGTACCAATCATTGTAGTACTCGTCTCGGTGTGAAGATTTTGTAAACCATTCGCTCTCATTGCTAGTGTGATTGGGTACAAATTCTAACACGACTTTTATATCTGAAACGAATGTTCATTAGTTAAATATTTTTATTGAAACATACTACATATAATATTTGAGATGAAAATGCTAAAATGTTATTAATTTCATGTATTCAAAACATAACACAATTTATGTGAAGGAAATATCTATATCGAGCAATTTAGGTTGCTTCAATAATTAATTATGGTAACGAATCTAAAATGTTCTATAGACAGAGAAGCGATGATGTTGCTCTTAACAAAGTCTCAAAGTTGGGTCATTTATCATGAAAACCTTTTGCATTAAAAGCTTACTTAGTTCCCTGGCCTTTTTAAGAAGTTGCTCGAAATCTTCCATAGTGCCGAATTCCGGTTGTATACTGTAATAATCGGAGACATCGTATCCGAAGTCGTTCATAGGAGACTTGTAGATCGGTGATATCCAAGTTGCGTCAACTCCAAGATCTTTTAAGTATTCCAGTCTTGACGTGATGCCTAACAGTAATTAAATTAAAAGTATTCAAATAATTTAAGAGATTACTTAGATCCGTATTTTGTATTCGTATTTCGTTCATTCGCTTTATTGTTGAAAACTGGATAACGGTTTGAATATTTAATAGGGATTAATTAACAAAACAAATATAGCTCTGTGTTTGATGTTTTTGCTATAAAGTTTTGGGTTCGCTTGCATAATTTATGAATAAGAAAACTGTTATTTCTACTTTACTATTTACTTTATTATTCGAGTTGTTATTTTATTACTGGAATTTTCTCTAAGATCAGTCAACTAAGAGTTAATAATAATTTATCTCTGAAAAACAACTATTTAGGCTTTTCTTGATCACCTTAAAGTTTAGACTTTCCAATCAGCTTTTTATTCGAAAGCAGTCTATTTTATAACCTCTAAGAAATCTAACAATAGATACATTAAACGAGTCAAATATACCGATATCTTTTCAATTTTAAAGTCTGATCATAAATGCAGATCTTACAATAATAAAATTTTTATTACCAATAATATCACCAATGCCATCTCCGTCGCTGTCCATGAAAGATCTTGGATATATCTGATAAAATACAGCTGTCTCCCACCAGTCCTGTTTGACGTTTATATTTTCATATCTACCCTCAATAACCGTACAAATAACCAGAAATATGATCTCGCGCACTGAAACGAAGTATAAAAATTTTACATGTTTTTAGAACACATATACATATATATATAAGATTTCTTTAATGATGGTAGTATAGTTTTTTATATAACAAATATATTTTAGAAAATACAATAGAAAACATAGCGAGTAAAATCAGAAGGATAAAACGCAAAAAATCAATGATAAATGTATGCCCTTTTTGGTTGTAACTGATTTTACAGTTCCTGATAAATTTAAAATAATTCTGACGTTTTGATCCCGAAAAAGGCGAATGGTAAAATGTTCCGTGAATTTCTCGTAATACTAGATTGTGACTGTCCGAAAACGAATGTTAGTTTTTCCAGCATTGATCTGGAGTACAGTTGTTGATGAAATTTTGTGCTACCTTTGAATCAGATCTGGAGTCTATCAATTCAAGTTTAGAAAGTACGTATTAGTGCTAACAGAACAGGATATAAAAGTAATAAGTTGAAGTATAATATATTTTATGTATATATGTAATATCAAAATATTCTTCAACGATTGTAAAAAAAATGTTATGTATACAATTGATCATTTTATTATACAACCCAAGTTCTTTTAGGACTTTGAGTTTTAAAGTTGAATCGATAAATTGCAGATCTGGTACGACGTGAGTTCAGAACTAACTCGGTAATGGTTAGGAAATATAAAACTCAGCTAAAAACGAGGAGAACTAAATCCATTCTTTATCTTCCAGCCATTTATATACAAATGTCACTCACATTTTCTATATTACAATTAAAAAATTATAAAAGAAGACAATATTAAATATATTTATTATAACTAGAATTAAATAAATATATAATTTTACACTCACTTTTAATGAATTATGTGCACATTTGATATATAATTGAATATAAATATGTAAGGGCTAACTCAAGGATGTTATGAATGTGAACTGATAGCTGAAGAAAGGCGTCTTTATATGTGGTTGACGAGCGGTTATTTGAAAACATTTTTTTTGTTTGTGAAACTGACATTGTAACGAGGATGATTTTATAAACCGACCGATGTCATCAATAGATTACATCACAGTTTAATTGAAGAATATAATTGTGAATAGAAAAATCTGTTGACTAATAGGAATGTAGAATAATTTTTCGCCTCTCGGGTATTAGACGTGCTATCATTATTTTTCTCTGATACATTTTTATCTTTAAAAAAATACTCTTTTTGGATTCCAATATTATTATTTTCCGCACAAGGTTTTTTGTAGTGTGTATTATATAGTGCTTTATTAAAATATAACTCCAAGATATTATAAAACCTTTTTTTTTCAGGTAAGCATCAAAAGACATTTTATTCACTTCATCCCACTGTAAATCAATTACATTTGTAAACTGAGAATAGTGTAGTCGTCTATCTTAATATTTCAAAGACGAAGGATAGAGATTGAACACACAACCAGGTATGGAAACCTTTTATAAATTGAGTTACAGTAATCGCATACTGTGGTTTTCCGTTGAATTAAAACATTTTTTTATTTTATACACCGTTATTAAATCGTTTCCACACAATAACAACAAATAGACATAAAGTACCGTTTCGAAAATCACAAAAAATTTTCAAATAATCCTCAGAAAGACTGGTCATATTCCATGTTTTGACTTTACAGTAAAATTTATAGTATTTCAAGAATATTATGAGTCTTATCACAATATAATTTTCAGAGACCATATGCTACAAAAGGGTCTCCGAACTTTAATCTCACTTGAAGCCAGACCCTTGTTAATTAATTATGTAAAATGTACTCCTTCAAATTTTAAACCCGTTATACGGGACCATTTCTAAAAGTAACGTTAAGTCGTCTTGAAAACTTTGACTATGACAATATTTATTTTATGTATATTTTATAATAATAAATCTCTTTTGTTTTCAAAGAATTTCGATGAAATTGAAATATTTGAAACTAAAATATATATTCTCTATGTTCATATTTAAAAACTTTGTGAAAAAGCAGGGTACTTGGAGATGTTATTAAAATTGTTATAAAATGCCGCCTAATTCTTAAAGAATGTTAGATGCTCAGCTTACCTCAACGTTTGTAAGACATAATAAGCAAACTTGAAGTTTAATTTATCTTGCAACATTCTTAATAGTTAAAACTGTTTGCATGTTCACTTAAAAGTAGAGGAAAGATAAGTTGTATCAACTCTATTTTCTTGCCTTTAGCAAAAATTATACAACTTACAATATACACAGGTTTTGTATTATGTGTATGTGTGTGTGTCTTTAATATTTTTAGTATATAAAAAAAAAACTACATTACAATATATTTTATAGATATCAAGAGTTTTGATATAAAAGAATCAAAAATGTCCGTCGATCCATGTTTATTATTAAATTAAGTCATAATATTATATTATTAGTTATAGATTCGTGACTTCGATTTGCTCTCAATTCATCAAATAGAAAAGCCTTCAGCATCATCGCTAATGGAAAAAATTAAGTTTAAAGCAAAACCAAAGTTTTATTAAGGGTCTGGATGTGGGAAATTGGCGAGATTGGATCGCTAACGTAATCCGATTGCGCCCGCCAAAGATGAAAGCGAGAATGGCCTTTATTGAATGTTTTATTGGACATTTCATGTTGCGGATATCTCATATACTCGTTGAGATAATATTGGTTCGAACCATTTATTTCTTTGAACAAAACCCAAGAAATTCTCTATTCTAAAGATCAGATTCTAAATTGGATTCAAATCATTCTGGTTTCCGTATTTCTTTACTCACTCTCGTTTTTTTTTTATAAGTTTATTCAGGTATACTGAATGCTAATACTTTATATCTCGAAGAATCTTGTACTACGTCTCAAACGAAATAAAATTACAATGATCCCCTTGTGACATCGTTGCAATAGAATCTGCATAGGAATAGAGAAAAGCGGTGTAAACTTTCTTTTCAGAAAATGTTATCAGAAGGTGAGGGAACAGTATAAAAATATCATTGACTTTGTTAGAATAAAATAATAAGTAAAATAAAAAAGTTATCCTCACATATTCACCCAATTTTTTTACGTTACTTAAATATTTGCTTAGCATTATTTTATTCTTACTTACAACGAGCTCTAAATAATTTTTATGTTCAAGTAGCCAAAAAATCGTGAAAAATTAATGATCTTTAATAGTTTCAGAGCAGACAATGTTAATATCTTTCAGTAGGCGTCCTATAAAAATATTTTCATTGCGCCCAGGACACTTATCAATCAACATTGGCGAAGTCAACAGCATATACTTTTCAACTCTAAAAAAACTCCTTTAATTATCAGTTTTTCAGAATATTTACGTTTATTGTTACTGTAGGTTAGAAAAATATTACAAATAATCATAAATCTTTTCAAAGAATATGTGTTCTTTTTAATATACTTGCATTTAACTACAATTTTAATAGAAATTATATTGGTTGAATTATACATCATATTCTTTTTAATAAAATAATACTTCAAATTATAGCAAATATATATTCATTTCTATAATAACGTACTTCGTCTTTATTACTAAGAGCCTTTTATGTAAATTGCACAATATATTATCTTCATAACAATCTGACAGGAAAGTAAAAATATTTCCATTCCAGATACCTCCATTTGTTTTAAAATATTTTATACTTGGCCCCACAAAAGTAAAGGTACCAAGATTTTAACAGTTGAATCGTGTATAAAGACACACTAAACCTTTTTGAAGTAACCTCTAACTGATTCTGAGAGAGTACCAAATTTTCAGTTATAAGATGTTATTAAGTATGTTTTAATAATTTTGAACTGCTTAAAGTATGAAATTTAAATTTTATTTAAAGCATATTAATTGGGTAACCAAATCAATAACAAGAAAGGTGTACAAAATATTTTCAATATAGTTATTTCACATACACATTTTTCATCAAGAAACTTTTTTATATTGAGATGATACACTGTTTGTGATTCCAATAGATGAACATATTTTAAGATATAACACTTAAAAGTATCTCATATTCAAAGTAATCCAAAAGTGTAGGTAAAATTTGTTGAAAAAGTTTGAATCTAATTGTTCAAAAAAAATTGGACTTGTAGACAGGACTTCTAAAAAATAATTTATTGCAGTAAAAACAGAAACATCATTCATTTCATTGCAAGTCACCGAGAGGACTTTTATCTTTTCTCACTTCTATTTCCTTTTTTGAACTTCTTACGCATAAATCAAATTTGTAATTCTTATAATTTGGCTTAATTAATGTATACCATTTTCCTTGAGAGTTAACTTTTGTTCAAACCTTTAATAATGAAATGCAAAGTATTTCATAATGAAAAATAATACCTTTAAATAAAAACCAGTGCAGCCACGATTGCACAGACATGTAAGATAGATGCATTTCTTAATATTCACTTTCTGGTAAATAAAATGAAAAGACACATGAACAATCATACGCATTTATTATAAAAATTTATTAATAAAGAAAGATATGATATAAAATGTATTTGCATATTTAATAAATTTTCTTAGCATATCTCCCATTTTATTTAAAAGTTTTGTATTATTTGATACTCAAAGAACCTGTTTTTGATTATTATAATGCGGTAAATGCTTAACTTATATCGTATGTATTAATGTTAATGCCGTTTTCACACGGAGTGACTTAAATAGGATTTAAATTGGACATACGAAGATCCGATGGATTTCAAGATTGAATAAATTGGGGCTCATACATCATCGTCAGAGAAAATTTGACTTGACTCTTGGGCTTTGCTGATAGAACCGGCAAACTAATTAAATTATTAGATAAAAAAAGAGATCCTAAAAAAATATAATATATAATTATATTAATTTATAAAAAATACAGAATTTATCAAATACTTTACTGTAATGCTCAAAATAATATGATCCCTTTTATTTTCGGAAATAAATTCAATGCAAAAGTCATAGTACTGTTTGTGCTTTGTGTCACAATATTATTTACTTTGTGTCAAAATTATTTTACGTTTTCACATACAAGTTTACATATCTTCCTTATTTGCTAAACGAAAAGTTTTTTCACTTTTCGTTTAGCAAATTCGTCTTTGGTAAGTCGAATGTAATGAAAAATACCTCAAAGCATACAAAAAAGATAAATATCAGATATTATTAAACGTATTTTTTTAATGTGTTTTATAATTGAAAACATATTTTGATTCTTCAAATAAAAAAAAATAACAATACATAATAAACCCAATATGAACACAATATATGAATAGCAATTTAATTTTGCTTAAAATTTAATTACCTAATATAATATTTTAAATAAAAGTTATACATTTTAAAATATTACCATATTTTTTATATAAGCGACTTTGATTTTCAAAATATATTTTTTATTTCTAGTATTTAATAAACATCCCAGATATGACCCTGCCACCACAGTACGATCAGTCAAATTAGTTTCGACATAAACTATCACAAAGTACGATTTAATAAATATTTTATGTAAAACTTGAACCAAATCTATTGTAATAAAGGTAGATAATAAACATGACAAAACTTTAATATCCTCTAGAAAACTGATGATGCTACGCGGATATTATTATAAGTGTCTGATTATACACAACCTAAGTGATTTACAAAAAGTAATTGCCCATTCACCTTGGCATACCGCCAATGTCATATTTATGCAAAACTTTTAATAAAATTATCATGACAGCAGAAAATCCTAATATTTATGAAAACTGCAATAAAGAGAATGTTTAAAGTAATGGTATAAAAGAAAATTAAGGTAATGCATGAAAAACAGTTTACCGAAAATATTATTTGTCTCGCAAATTATACAAATGTGGTTTTATTTTACAGATTTTACCAAAAAATATAAGTTTTAGCAAGTAATAAATCTATTGATAATGAGGACAAGTCTACACGATAAAGTTAATAGAAATATAATAAAAGAAATATCAAATTTATCGGAAATCAACTTTAGAACTTTAGGGATATCGAATTCCAATTGCATTACTAATTGGTAACGCAAATAAGTTATCGCATTCCAAACTATGAAAACTTGATTATAATATTATATACTGCATAATGTGAAGAAAATTCCTATTAAAAAACATAATTATAATTAAAAAAACAAATTTATGAAAATATAATTTTATTACATCATATAATTATAATCAGATTTCTCCGACCAGAATTACCTAAAACAAATGTACAACATCAATGTGTAATGTATTATACATATATGTAAATGAAATCAACATTTTTTGTACATACCATACTCCTTTACTTTCTTCAGTATGTTCTCAAAGTACTGAAGTTGGTCTTTTTCTAAAGATAAAAAATACATATTTATTTTCAAAGGAATTCGAATATTATAATACATAAAATAAAAATTCAATAAGGTATAACAATAAATAAAAGTTAAAATATAGTGAATATTAAAAGGAGGAAATGTAAGTATATTTAAATAAAACGAAAAACAGGATTCATTTTTAACAAAAATGCATTTTCCTTTAAAAATTTATTCAATTTTTATATTACCTTCTTTGCTTTGTTCCTGTTCTGAAAACATTTTCCAATATAAATAAAATAAGACTTCAATAAGTAAAAGAGTTCTATTGTAAACTTATTAACTCTTATATAAATAAAAATATAGTTTTATTATTAATAATACATTAGTTTTATATAAGTTAATTGCCATTTCTGTACTTATTTGCAATAGTTACCAATATATAAAACTTCCTTTTTAAAACCTAATTTAGAATTATATTTACACATAGCATGAAAATTACACTTCTGTTTTGTTTTTTTTTAAACTTCGACCATCACCATCATCATTCATTCAGGCTTTATTTTCAGAATCTACCAGATTCCATTTTATGTATAATATATTACTTATAACATAAATATAAAGGAATAAATATTTTTAAGCGATTCAATTACAGCTATTCATATACCAGAATAGTTTAGCTGCCCCATGAGAAATAATGTCTGAGAAGAATTAAAATACCTAGCTAGTAAATATATATATTTTTTTGTATACTTACTGTACTTATTAACTACTTCTTTTTGTTGCTGTTTGACTGGACATATTTAAAAAAACCATATAGTTTATATTATAGCTTTGTGAGAAAAGAAAAATTTAAAAATACACTTACAGATCCATTTATGATAATTATTTAATTCTGTAATAACATAAAAAAATTAATTAAAATGTCAAGAAAAATATAGAAGACAAAAATTAACAAATATGGCTTTTAATGAGAAAATTTATTAACAAAACATCTAAGGATTCATAATTATTTTCAATTAAGAAGATACTTAAATAAAAATAATCATTAATTTTTAATATACTCAGTTTTAGCAACCTTAAATATTGACTAACCTTGATTCGTGTCACTCGTCTCAACGGATCCACTGATGGGATTTAAGAAGGAAAACGCTGGAAAAATCCAAATTTATTATACATTTGATGCAGCGAGTACAGTTATATTATTCGTGACTGTGGTCCCCGGATTCAATCTCCGGTTGGTATTTGTATAAATAATCAATACATATATGCCACCAGGTCTGGCAATATACAATTTAAAGAAAAATTCTTGGAAATATTTCCCATATATAACAACTTATTTTATTTACATACACTACATTTTGCAACTATACATATTCTTATCATATCATTTAGGCAGTGGTGGCCTAGTGGTTAAAAGGCCCGCCTCTTGTTTCAAGGGCGCGGGTTCGGTCCTGGCCCAAGCAAGTACCAATGTGATTTTTCCGAGTCATATGTACTTTCTGAGAGTATTTAGACACCACTGATTAATGTATTCCCAAAGAGGGTTGATTTCAGGCAGGCGGCCGGTCGTAAAAACAATTAGGCAAAACTATTCACAACATGTAAGGCAGACCTTGGCTAATGCTCGGAAATTACCAGGTAGACGACATATTCTTATCATGTTACTGTTCAATATTTCATTTAAAAAAATAGTTAAATATGTCGTGATAACATATAAAATTGTAGAACAACTTTTGTGGATTCAAGAACAAATAACAACCTTTAGTATGTTCCGAGCTAGAACTGGTACTGGGAGCTGATTCAGTCTTCGACGTTATGAATATCTGAAACACGAATTGAATTAATCATATTATGACGGAGATACTACTATCATATATTTGCACCAAACAAAAATACATAATATATTCGACAACTGTTTATCTTACTTACGTAACAATCGATAAGAAACCAACCAAAATATTTTTTTTTATATGGAAACTATATGTAAATTTACTGATTTACTGAGATCCAAGATTTTCGCGAGTATTCGTTTAAATTAAACTAATATTTTCGAATTTACTACGAGATGTCGTCTGCCCGTGATCACGGTTTCTGTAAAGTAACCGAAACGTCGCGTCGGGAGTATGTAGTTTATAATCAAAAATAAAAATCGCGTAGTAAATCCGAAAATATTAGTTTCATTTACTTATCTACTTTTTGTTTTTATTTGGTATTAAATATTTTTATTTAATGGTTATAAAGACACTTACTAACAAAAACATATATGTTCGTAACATTTCCAATTAAAGTAACGAGGAACTAGCTCAACGATTGTTCCGCTAATCAACTGTGACTCCTTAGAAGTGCATTTTTATTGCATTCGATTGGAATGCTTCCCGGCCAGTTCAATTGCATTATATAATATTTTTATGTAACTTCATCGGACGGACATTTAATCAACGGGTTAGAAATACATCTCTTTGAAATTAATCATATTAATTCAATAAAATAACTGTTACAATTGAATTATATAATGAACATATTATAATTCCTTCAATTTTCTTCCCTTTCAGCTTTGAAATAATGCAAATTAACTCATTACATAATTATAACTATTATTATTGAATCAAATATATTTTAATGTACAATTTAAATAGTAAAAAATGTGTAAAGTCATAAGGATATAAATAATTTTATGGTCGCGTATCTGAATATTTTTCTGCAGTTTTGGTTTACATTTATGGTTTAAAAGTATCGTCATACTTTAAAATAGATAACACAAATTTTTCTAGTCTTCTCGAGTCAAAAGTTCTTACTGTTTATTTATCCTAGTTAATTGTGAAATTCATTTTATAAAATTTCCTTTGAAATTTTAATTTCATAATAGCTGCTAGAAGAGGCGGCAGCTGTACTCTTCCCTCCATTTTCTCAGCATCTCTCTACTTTTGTGAATCAGCAGACAAATCTGATTCCTAATTCGCTCTACAGCTTCGTTTGCCAAAATCGCCTGATCGCAAAAGAAGGCCACTGTGATCCAATACGTCGCGCTGCCGATCATGATGCTTATTAACCAACGACAACCAGCTCTCAGTGCTACCGAGTCTATGAACTCCAAACTGTGACAAGCTGTGTACATCGCCTCGTCACAGTGGTGGAAGGTGAGGTTCGTTTTCCTTATAGCGATCCTGTGCAGGTACTCGGCGAAGCATCTGTTAGCAGCAACAGCAAAAATGGGACGATAGTATTCCTTGTGGCCTACCCTCCCAAGAGTCAGTGCGAATGGTCCCCACTGTTCTCAACTGTCCATTTGTAATTTTCGAAGTTGGTGTCCACCTAGAGGTCTTGCCGCAGAGAAACTGGCCGTGCTATGATTCCTAATCACCCTTACCTTTATGGTTCTCTACGCCTTACATAAGACGATATTTGGATTAGTGGTGACAGCTCGTGACTATATAAAAACATCGTAGAGGATCATATTTCTCACGATGAAAGTTCTGAGCTTCATGATGCCTGCGGAGCAATTTAAAAAAGCAAAAAAGTAAAAAAAATAACATTTGGTAAAATCAATCTAGTTCAACTGGCGATTTTTAAATTTAAAACTTATTTCTCTCTTAAATCACCTTTTACGAAATGTTTTACTTCTCGTTTAAACAGACACAAATATTAGTAAACCTTTTAATTTATAAGAGTGTTCTATTTATGCATAAAATACGTGACTAAATAACACGTCGTTACTAAAATTTAAAAAAAAAGTACACAATACTCATTTTAATATAGTTATACGATGTCTCTTTATAGTATCTTTTATTTGCCAATCAATTAACTTTAGAAAGCTGTCTTCAATTTTCATATGTATATGGCATTAAAAAAATCTTTATCCAATACAGGTGTCTCTTAACTCTTCAAAAATAATAAATTTATAAATGTCACCGAGTAATCTAAGAACAAGTTGGAAGTCCAGATGAATATCGATTTATAGAAAGTTTAAATTAGTTTCTGAAAAGTTGCAATTTAATTTACAATTCATAAAACTCAGAAATAACCTCGGATCCGTTAAACTTACATTTGAATCTTTTAATATTCATTGGAAGATTAAAATAACTGAACTGAATTTATTCTTATCGATCAACTTAATTTTAAAACTTAATGAGACTAATTTTTAGAATAAGAAAGAAAATTTGCTGTCGAATTGAAACGGAGATTGATTTATGAAGTTTCAAGGACGTTTATATGAAGATATTCATGTGATCTAATATTTAATAAAGCCTTATTCCTAGAATACATTTAAAATAAAGAAAACTTCATAATAAAGTATCTTTAGAAGTCCTTTAAAAATAGCGACATCGTTTCCTTTCAGCTTAACTAAAGATCGTGATGATATTATTTTCCAATCTGTTTTCACGTACTTTTTCCTTTCCACAAATAACTCGTTTTAGTTGTCGTAATTACTACAAACTTTTTCGTACTAACTTTAACGAAAGCCTCGTGTGCCCTGCAATTTTGCGGACGGTTTCAATGAGAAAATTGTTTTGACGTACACTTTTCGGATAAATCATAATAAAAGTTTGTTTAGCAATTCACGGTCCGAAATATTTGAAAACCAACTGTCATAAACTCATATTTGATATCAGTACAAGTACAAACAGTAGTTTTTTCGACTAAAAAGCATAATAATTATGACGATTAGTCTTAATTATAGCTCGGGAATATGTAGGTAAGGCACACCCTGGCTAGGGCTGGGAAATTGCTAGGAAGAAGAATAAGTATATATTAACTTTATAAAAATATCATCTACTTTCAATACATGGTTTCTCGAAATCTAACAAAGTCAGTTTAAATTTAGGATTTTTTCTTTTCTTGCTTCAGTACTTAATATAAACATAATAACAGCAGTACAGATTTTCTTTCTTGTTTTTGTGACTAAACAAGATAATTTTTATATACAAGCGAAGGTTTGATACATAGAAGTGTACCAACATAAAAAGAAACTAAATAAAATGGATAAGGTTTAAATTTAATCCAACTGCTACAAATTAAATATAATTTGTTGCCATATATAATTTTGAAATATTTAAGAAAAAAAAATGTTTACAAATCGTATCGAATTTTTGGCAGATATTACACATTCAGAAATAGTAATTTCAATAATATGTCAAACAAATTTATAAATTAAATTATAAAATTTTAATGTTACATTCATTTAAACCTTATTTATTATTTAATAACAAGTTGTATTTCATATCCACGACATGCGAGCATTCCCCTGGTTATATGTTTTTATTACAAGCATTGTCTAGATGTCATATGAATCCGTTCGTTTATAGCACAGAGGTTTCATATCATATACATACTTTTTTATTAAAATATTAACAGTTTAACAACTGTCTAAAGTTGTAGTCTAACAATTGTATTATTAAATTACACTACAAATTGTACCTAAGCTACTTTTTACACAATTAATTTATATCATATTCCTATTAAAAATGGATTAAATAAATACGTAAATAGAACTAACAAATGAAATCTAAACTGACATAAACAAATACACTTTGAAATATATCTTGACATTCTCCGAAGCAAGTTAATCTAAATAGCGAGATGACGTTTGAGGTAAGATATCCACAGACTATATCAAACATCCACAGATATACAAGATTAGATTAGGTCTCTCAAGGTAGTAAACCTTATCGGAATTTATTAGCTCTGTATTGTATACACCCTCTTTGATAGCCGGCTTTCATCAGAACAAGTGAATATGTACGTATATTAATTTCCTTACCAAATAATAGTTCATTCCTGAAACAAATCAAAGTCAACAGATGAATATATAATGAATTGTGAACAGAGTATAACAACGTGTTTATGAATCTGTAAATGGGAAATTATTGATCACGTGCTACTAGCTTATTTCATTCTAATCGGGATATTAATTTTGCAGTGTATTCATGATTGATAAAAGAATGCTCACTGACTCAATAGAAAAATTTATTATTATTCAGATTACTTCTATGTATTGTTTGGACTTAAAACACTAACAAAAATTTTTATTGTTTAAAATAACTATTTCGTACTTCTAGCATAACGTATTATTTATGCAGTTTGTTCTACTTTTTTCAACCATTTTGTGTTGCGTCATTACATCTAGCTAATATAGTAATTTATTGCTGATGAACAGTAATATTATTTAGGAAATTCAAATATAAATTTTGTACTTAAAAGTCAATTCTACTATCAGCGTTTAGCTTTATCTCATTTACAAAAGGTGTTATGTTCTAAGTTCTGCTTCATAACTAATTCTGAATTTTCCGTGATTAAACTTATACCTTTTCATTATATTGTTTTCTCTTAGATATTATTAATAGTTTTCCTTCTCATTAATGATTATAATATTGTAAACCCTATCGATTCTTAGTTATTCGCGTAATAAAGGTATGTTATACCACCTACTATCTTATTATTAATGGTATTTAAAAGTACACGGAATTTATATGTTGCCATTTAATATAAACAGCATACATCAAAGACATCTTGTTATAAGATCCGTCTCGTTTTATTATTTTTGTTATTTGTACAAAAATAATTGGAACTTTTCTATTTCGTCACTCACTTTTTCTCCCTCGTCTAATTCATCACGATTCAGTCTCATTACTCACGACCTTATGTCGGGTTATCCAAAAGTTACGGAAATACTAATAAGAAGTTCAATTTGTTCGAAAAAACAAAGTATAAGTCTTCGTTTATATTAGTTTATTATAAAATTATAATTAAGTTTTAGAAAACAATCGAATCTTCCGACATATCTTAAATAGTAATGTCTACAGGGTAGCATAAAATTCATACAAAATATTACACTGTAATGTGAGATATAGATATTTCTGAAAATAATCTTTAGTCTTAATAAACTGTTATTAATTTTAATATAGCATTTTCTGTGATTAGTCAGAATTGATAGCGGATATATTCGAAAATTGTATTTATTTAGAAACAACAATTACAGGTATATTTGCATGTATTTGATGTTTGAGACGGACATATAATTTGAGTCTAACAATACTGATAAATAGACTGAAACATACTTTTGATGATAAATAACCCCTCGAGATTTTATTTCGATTCAAGTTAGACGTAACACGTGAAAGCATACATTGCGATAAATAGGAACGTTTGAAGACATTGCATCAAGGTGTTAATGTAACCAACAGAAAAATTCGTTTATAAATAAAATACAATCTGAATGTAAAAGAAATTATACGATCACGTTCGGTGCTTTATAGTTTTAAATTAAAAGCAAACAGCTTTACCATATAATGAGTAAATAAATTATATGTCAAACAAATAAAACGAAAAATATTTATAAAGTAAAATCCATTAAGCACTCAAAGTATTAATAATTCTTGCTTTATCCGACGCGTTATTTTATAATTATTATCGTTGCAAATATAATCACTCTTATAATGAAACGTGAAATTAAATGTAAAATATAAAAAAAAAGCATGGAATACTTTTTAAAATAAGTGAAGCTGGTGTTTTTTATAAGTTATTCAAGTGTAGTCTAGAACGTTAAACTTAATTGGATAGGTGGAGCTAAGAGTACGAACGTAGCGAGCTTAAAATTTTTACAACCGCTTTCTGACATATTAATATATATATGTGTGTGTGTGTGTGTGGGTATGTGTGTCTGTGTGTATGTGAGAGAGAGAGAGAGTGTGAGTGTATTTGAATGTATGTATGATGACCAGACACTTGACTATCAATTCATAAATTTATAGAACTGTATTAACTTGAAAATAACATTTTTATCACAACCATATTTATACTATTTCTTTCTGAAGTTATTTAAAAGTGAAATCTTTTGTTACTTAACCTTTAAAAGTACATATTTGTTATAGTTTTATGAAGCAAACTTTCAAATATTTAATCTTGTTAATCGTTTAAACAATATGACAACCTTACTTGAATTGTTTTTTTATATTTTTTATTGTTGTGTTGACAACTAGGAACTTTAATACCCATTTAATATAGCGTTGTATTGTAGACAATGTTCTGAAGGCTTTGTGATATTATGACACACCCCTTATCAGACAATTCATAACACATCATAGTGCGATACACGTCAGTGAAACTAACAAAAAGTTATATTTGTAAATAACATAAAAAAAATAGTATTTAATTGAAACTAATATTTTTCGGGTAAACTATGCGTGCTATATTATTATAAAAACTGCATGCTCCCGACGTTTCGATTACTTTTCAGCAACGATCCAACCGTAATCA